GAATATATACAGTACCACAGGTCATATATTAGCTGAATGGGTGTTCTTGAGGGCTGTACAGTATGGCTTTCTCTGTCCTTTGATTGATTGAAAAGAACTCTTAACAGCAAGGTTTACAAGTCTTTCAGTGCGCATAGCTTTAGTGCAGGGCAGCTTAAGGCAACAGATTGTGGACTCCTCTGGTTGTGTTTCCCTCCCACCCAACATCACCAGCTGCTGGAGAAGAAAACACTACCAGTCTTTTTAAAATGTGCTGGGAGTAGGGAAGACAAAGACTGCAAAACAAAGTAAAAACAAAACAAAGTAAAAATAAAAACAAACTAAAGATTGCAACGACGACACCATTATAGCTGACCTCTTTAACACATTCTTTGGCTCAGTATTTGTAAACAGCAATGGATCATGCCCAGTATTTCCTAGTCGAACCACAGACAATTATACAATGATCTAATCCATATCAATTTTACAGAAGACAATGTCGAAAAAGCACTATGCAATCTAAAACCATCTCTATCTATTGGACTGGATGGAATATGTGCATATTTCTTTAAAAAGGTATCCACTGCCATAGCCGAACCTCTAAGCATAATCTTCAAAAAATCTTTCAGGACCAGCTCCTTGCCAAACCTATGGTCTCAAGCCACGGTCATCCCCATCTTCAAAAAGGGAGACCCCAGCCTAGTTGAAAATTACAGACCAATCTCTTTATGCTGCATCACCTGTAAAGTCATGGAATCAATTATTAACCAATCCATTATCCTCCACTTAGAGGCAAACAACCTACTCTCTAATAAACAATTTCAGAAAAATACTATCCTGTAATCTGCAACTCGTACACTGCGGAAACATGGACTACACAACTCGATCAGGGCAAAGCAATAAACGCAATCTACATAGACTTCTGTAAAGCTTTCAATTCAGTGGTACATGACAAACTACTCCTAAAACTAAAATCTTATGGTATCTCTGGACACCTGCATAACTGGATAGAAGCATTCCTGTCAAACAGACAACAAATGGTCAAAATTGGGAGCATCCTATCAAATCCTATATCTGTCAACAGTGGTGTCTCCCAGGGCAGTGTTCTAGGACCAACTCTCTTCATACTCTACATAAATGACCTCTGTGATCATATTAAGAGCAACTGCGTTCTCTTCACTGATGATGTAAAGCTATTCAACACCACAGACAATACTGCTACCCTTCAAAAAGACCTTGACTATGCATCAGAATGGTCAAACAAATGGCAACTTCAAATCTCAATAAATAAATGCTCTGTCTTACATATTGGCAAAAAAAAAATCAGAAAATAAAATACAAGCTGAATAGTCAAGACCTTGTTGATGATCCAAACTCTGTCAAGGACCTTGGAGTTCTCATCTCTAATGATCTAAGTGCTAGAGCCCACTGTAACTACATAGCCAAAAAGGCATTAAGAGTTGTTAACCTAATCCTACGTAGCTTTTTCTCTGGTAATATCACACTACTAACTAGAGCATATAAAACATTTGCTAGACCAATACTTGAATACAGCTCATCAGTGTGGAACCCGCATTACGTATCTGATATTAACACAGTTGAGAAAGTCCAGAAATATTTCACAAGAAGAGTTCTCCACTCCTCTACTCGTTGTAGAATACCTTATGCCACCAGACTCGAAATTCTAGACCCAGAAAACCTAGAACTACTCCGCCTTCGGTCCGATCTAAGTATAGTATATAAAATCATACATTACAATGTCCTACCTGTCAATGAATACTTCAGCTTCAACCATAACAATACAAGAGCACACAATAGATACAAACTCAAGGTAAACCGCACCAAACTTGATTGCAGGAAATGCGACTTCAGCAACAGAGTGGTCAATGTCTGGAATACTCTACCTGACTCTGTGGTTTCTTCCCCAAACCCCAAAAACTTTAACTTTAGATTGTCTACTATTGACCTCACCCCTTTCCTAAAAGGTCTGTAGGGGGCATGCATAAGCGCACCAACGTGCCTACCGTCCCTGTCCTATTTTTATTTCTTTTATTTTTCTTATATGTATCCATTTCATGTATCCATAACTATGTTGATACTTATACCTGTTATCTTATAAATAAATAAATAAATAAATAAATAAATAATAAAAAACCCACTACCAGTCTTTTTAAAATGTGCTGGGAATGGGGAAAACAGCTCCTAAGGCAGCCTCCTTTCAAACTGCCTAAGTGATGGCTATCTAACTTGCTGCTATTGTCACTTGCTTGTCACTTGGGCTATTTCTGACTGGATCTATTTGTCTTCTGTGCCTATCATTGTCCCTTGACTATTCTGGTTTTTCACGTGCTTCTTCAGATTGGGTCCAACAATTATCTTTAGTAGTGCATATACAGCCCAGTCTGATTCTGATTTTCTCGTCCACACAGTACTTTAACATTTCAGCTTCAACAGACATTGGTATTTATTTTAATTACCAGCCATTTCCCAATTTTCTGTTTCAGTTCTTTTTTCCAGAACCCAACCATATCTGTAAACTCTCCTTCTATCCCTGTGAGAATCTAAATTAACAACTGAGTATTCTTTGCTTCTCGCTATCAATAAAATTAGCGCACAGCAGGCCGATGTGGCTGAATGACAGTGTGTCACATAGGCTTTGTACCTATAATGTGGTTCCTATAAATACATCTCATTTTTGTTGTAGTTATAAAAGCTGCTTCACTAATCATTGTTCAGCTTAAATTCCCACTCTCAGGAAAATTCATACCTATACACAGAATACATTAACCTCCAACAAGGAGATTGATACTCTCATTTAAAGAAAAAGCAGAAGTCTAAAAAAAACCTATTAATAATATGTCATTATGTAGCTTGGTGACTGATCAAGAAACTATTCACTTGTTATAAATTATTGTGATTATGATTAATAAAAAATCACGGTTTTATACAACTTGCTAAATTAGGATAATGCAAAATTGGGTAACTGTAATTCAAAATGCAAGATCCCGGACAGTGACCTAGTATCTTGAAAGATTCATGCCAGAAGTAAATGTTCTAGTTCTTCCCAACATTTGAAATAACTTAATTATTTTTTTCCAATTATTTCTTTGATGAATATGAATAAGATTTAACAATAGTTTTGGCCTGTAGATTGCAGCCTGTTTTTGGAAGTTTTTAAAAGTGGCTTTTGATTTATCATAAATTTCCTGAACATTTTAAGCATTTTAAATTCTGGATTTAACAATCATTATCAAGTCATGATCTAAAAATGAAATTCTATTTGACTTATATTAGATTCCTCTGAATAATCAAATTTTATATTAATATTATTGTATTAACTATATATATGTAACTTTTTTGTTGGAATCTTTCATGCAATATCTTTTTAAAACGAAGTACAGATTCTTTTTAAAAGGTGATCTTTTACTGCATCTTCAATTTGATATTTTTTTACCCATTAACAACCTAGAGCAGATCTGAGATCAATGACAACCCTGCGTCTATGACACAATAGGGCTTGGGAAAGTTTTAACAAGATAAGCTGATTAACTGGCAGCACAATGTGTAATGTTTTCACCTGAATGTTGGGACAAAGGGTTTCCCCTGGATGGGAACTTTATCCTGTTTCAACTCTTGGCACCAAAAAGTTTCCACTTCTTAAGGAAAAGACATCATAACATCTTACCACCATACTTTTTTCCCCCGTTGGTTTCTTTGTTTCTGGCCTCTCTTTGCTAGGAGCCACAGTGGCCCAGTGGTTAGAATGCAGTACAGCAGGCTACTTCTGCTGCCTGCTGGCTGCCTGCAATTTGGCAGTTTGAATCTCACCAGGTTCAAGGTTGACTCAGCCTTCCATCCTTCTGAGGTGGGTAAAATGAGGAGCCAGATTTTTCGGGACAATAGGCTGACTCTGTAAACCCATCAGAGTGGGCTGTAAAGCACTGTGAAGTGGTATATAAGTGCTAAGGGCTATTGCTATTGCTACCCCATCCTCCATCTATTGATTGGTTTTTATGAAGGTGAAAAAGCATGTGTGGGGAGGAAAGAATGAGAAATGGTGAGAGGCAAGTTGGCTGCTGCAGGGAATGTTTGCATGAAACTTAGACTAATAAAGAAGCTCTCAATTATGTGAAATGCAGGTTGTGCCAGGATTAAAGTTTCACACAGTTAGTCCTCAACTTACAACCTTTTGTTTAGAGACCATTCGAAGTTACAATGGCACTGGAAAAAAAAGGGACTTTTGACCATTTTTCACATTTACAATCATTGCAGCAATCCCCACAGTCACGCGATCAAAATTCAGATGCTTGGAAACTGACTCATGTTTATGACGGGAACAGTGTCCCCAGGGTCACGTGATCACCTTTTGCGACCTTCTGACAAGCCAAGTCAAAGAGGAAGCCAGATCCACTTAACAACCGTGTTACTAACTTAACAGCAGCTGCAGCAATTCACTTAACAACTGCTAAACAAGGAAGGTTGCAAAATGGAGCAAAACTCACTTAACTGTCTCGCTTAGCAACACAAATCTTGGGCTCACTTGTGGTTGAGCATTGAGGGCTACGTGTAACGATTCTTTAAGAAAATGAATGCTGCTTTTGGTGAATTAATTTTAGGGAAATAGAAACTTTAGACGCAAATTTTGTTTTGAGAGGGTTCCTCCAACAAAGATGCTTGATATGCTCTTTCCATAGTGTTAATCCAGATTTGAACACTTTAGCAGAGGCCACGGGTGCCCACTGAGCTCTGGATGTACCCACTCTCAATATCTCCAACAATATTTACTGAAGTATAATTTTTATGTACAGAAAATTATTTTTATTTTCTTTTATGAAAAGGGAATTTTAATCTTAGCTCCAAAAAGAAAAAAAAACTATGGAAGAATAAAACATGTCACTATATTTTAATTAATTTAATATCAATAAAGAACTGGATGCAAAGATAGGAAACAGAGATTTAGGCTTAGGTTCTATGCATACCTATTAAAGGTAAGTAAAAGTTGAACTCAATGGGATTTATTTCTGTGTTGATACAAACAGGATAAATCGATTCACTTATTTGTTTTAATGTAAGATATGTGCACAGCTTTTCGTGCACATATTCTCTCTCACCAAAAGAGGGCAGTATTGCTGTATGTCTGTAGAATTAAACATGTTTTCAACCTTTTTCAGACAAGATCTGAAAATAATTAAAATTTCCCTGTATTATATCAGAAAGAGAGTAATATTTTGGATAAAAGGAGATAAAAATGAAGGAGTGACTTTCTTTCTTTCTTTTTTTCAAGTGGACAGGAAAATGTACACCTTTCCAGTTTTCAAGTGATATGTCAGAAACAGATTTTAAGATTTTTGGAACTGTTTTTGGATTGCATGGCTTGTTTGGTTTTTCCCTACAGCAGACACATATAGAAAATAAAATGATTGGTTATGGGGAAAAATCACTGGTCCTCTTCCACCACTATCATAAAATAAATATTGTTTTTGAACTTGTGAGATGCTATTTAGTAATAAAATAAATATTGAGTAAAATCCATGGGGAGCTCAGTGGCAAAGCCCGACAGTTTTCCATTTAGGGTCCCCATCCAAAATATGGATTTGTATTTGAGACCATTAGGTGTTCGGATACTTCTCATTAAAAAGAAATCATCAGTTAATGCAAAGAGCTACATATGTATTTCTGTATTTGCAGATTTTCTGCGCTATCCATATTGTGGCTGTCTAAATAACCTGTGACCCATTAGATCATTATTTCAGAGATATTTCCTTACCAGATCCCTCAAAGCCTTCAATAGTGGCAGAGCTCCTAATGAAGTGCTTTCCCTGGAAAAGTTCTTTAAAATTTAGGGAGGTAATTCAGAGGCATACCTACCTTGAGAAATAGCCTCTGCATAGTCGAATATCAGGAGCTGATTACAGGAAATGTTTTGTGAAATTTTGTATTATGTCATACAATCCTTTATGATAATTTTAATGTCATCAAATGTTTATAAATTTTCCAAAATTCAATTCCATAGAAGTCATGGGTCCTGGATTTTGGACACATTCTGTAAGATAGTCCATTTTGAAGTACTTTGGTTCAAAAAATAGTTGCTTTACAACACATCATTTCACCAGGTTAAAGGTTACAAACAAACAGTAGAATTTTAGAAGTACTGTATACAGCTAGATTGCACTCAATGGAAAAAGAGAGAAGAAAGTAAGCAGCAGAAAAGCTCAAATCAAGATGATGTCTCTAGACAGGCCAAACAATCCATAGTTTTAAAAATGTCACTTCCCTTTGCATCCTATGAGGCTTACCTTCTTGACAATTAGAACAGTTAATTACAATGCAGCCAAATGTCACTGAACTGTCCTTTATTTTAGAGACGTTATTTATACATTCCATTCTGGAATGGAATTCTGGAGCCCCAGGATTCTATGTGGACCCTCAAAGACTTGAGTTGCAGCTCCTATGATTACCAAAAGTTGTTCCAAGTTATACTTTTAATGTGATAGAAGGGAGAAATTATTCCCTACATCAGGGGTCCCCAACCACCAGTCCTTGGACCGGTACCGGTCCGTGGATCATTTTTTACCGGGCCGCAAAGCTAGGGCGCCGCCATCTTGTTTCGATGGCGCTTCCGGGTTTTCGGTTGCTTCCGGGTTTTCGGTTGGAAAGTGCTTCCAGGTTTTCAGTTGGAAAGCGGCATTTGGGTGCTCGCGCCTTAGTTTCGTCGAAGGAGGGGCGGCTTCGAACGAAGAGCCGTCCCGATGGTGGTGGAGTCTCGCGTTACTCAGGTACAGGTCCGTGGAAGAATAAATAATCGTGAAACCGGTCCCTGGTTCAAAAAAGGTTGGGGGCCACTGCCCTACATGACTGTCCACTTAAAGGGCAAACATGGCCTTTCAGTTAGAAACAGATTGCACCTTCTGCTCTGCATGATCCAGGTCCTGGATCTTGTGTACAAGAAGGGAAAACAAGGTCATGAACAATATCTCTTGGACAGGATCCAGGTTGTCTGGATGTAATGAACAAAGTTTCAAAACAACATTCACTCCAGTTTACTCAAACTTGGCATCAATCTTTACATAGTTATGAAGAATCCTATTCTGATCAATTTGTCTAGGGCACTTCAACATATTGTAAAGGTAAAGGTTCCCCTTGCACATACATGCTAGTCATTTCTGGCTCTAGGGGGCAGTGCTCATCTCCATTACAAAGCCAAAGAGCCAGTGCTGTCCGAAGCCGTCTCCGTGGTCATGTGGCCAGCATGACTAAACACCGAAGGCACATGGAATACTGTTACCTTCCAACCAAAGTGGTTCCTATTTTTCTATTTTAATTTTTACATGCTTTTGAACTGCTAGGTTGGCAGAAGCTGGGACAAGTAACGGGAGCTCACTCCGTTACGCAGTGCTAGGGATTAGAACTGCCAAAGTGCTGACCTAACTTCCCAAAGTTGTCTAATCGACAAGCTTAGCGTCTTAGCCACTGAGCCACCGTGTCCCTTTCAACATATTGTAGACATGGCTTATTGCTTCAGACCTGTCTCAATCCTGCTTCAGATATCTCAATCACTCCGCACCTTGCTTGAAGTGGGGGAAATGGACTTCTCGAAATCCCTATGCTCAGTTGGAATACTGTAAACATGGTTCTGTGGAAGAACTCAGCTGAAGCATCAGAAGACATTTAATTTCTCTTTCATTATTTGGATCAATCCTTCTCCTCCTGGTAGGCCCAAGATATGTTGCGCTATGAGTCTCACACTTGGCAATCAGAATGGCCAAAGGCAGTGTAGTTGCACACTTGGAGGGTGCTATGCAGTGGTGGGATTCAAATTTTTTTACTACTGGTTCTGTGGGCATGGCCTGGTGGGCGTGGCCTGGTTTGGTGGGTGGTGGCAGGGGAAGGATACTGTAAAATCTCCATTCCCTCCCCACCCCACTAACCTGCTTTCCAGCTCCGTTCTCCTGTGCAGGGCAACAAAAGAAGACCCAGCCAATCAGCTGGGACTCGGGAGGCAGAGAATAGATGGGGGTGGGGCCAGTCAGAGGTGGTATTTGCCGGTTCTCCAAACTACTCAAAATTTCTGCTACCGGTTCTCCATAATTGGTCAGAACCTGCTGAAGACCACCTCTGGTGCTATGCTTGGACTGGTGAAAATTATACAATTTAGAGGCATTAGTTTGGAGATAGGCAGTCTCCGGAACTGATATACTTGCAGTGCTGAAGATGCAACATTCTTCTTAAACACTATATTTATTTTGAGAAGAAACTATTAATGGGTCTGTATTGACACAAGTCAACATGGAAGTTAACTTCATATACTTGAATGTTTACAGCAGCATCAGTTAATTTGTCATTTTATTGGTTCTTTCAGTGAGTCGTAAGGCTAATCTAAATGTCAGCAACTTACAGGGTTGACAACTCTCTTTACAAGCTTGTTCAGCACAGAAGTGTCAAATTAGGGCTATATCAATAGATAAAGGGGAGGAAAATAGCACCATTGATGACCTGGTCTTTCCCAGCTGATATCTTTATACACTGCTATAAAAGAGAATTACTCTTAATTTAAAGAGGTGACAACTGTTGACATCTCAATTAAATTGTACTCTTTAGGAAACTATTAAATCCAGACTTAATTAGAGGCAAATCAGGTGCACATCTCGTTGAAGAATCATAAAAACATACCCTCACAGACAGTTGATAGTCGTATTCAGGAGTAATAAGATGGTTATATTGTTTTGTCTGCAGAGTTTTCTATGCATAAAAGCATTAAATAAATTACAGATCACCAGTAGCTAAAAAGATATATATTGGAAGAGTTATCAGAGTAAGATACTTGATAGATTAAGAGAATGAATTTTTTAACAAGATTTATTTAATTAATTGTGCAAATGTTTCTTATCTGTAAGCTTTAGAAATTTGGATTATTTTAAGTGATTAATCTACCACAGACACTGATTTTGTCTCCGCTTGTTATGAATGTTCAATATGACCAAAAAACCAACTTGCTTTTTATAATATTATTGTATTTTTTTAAAATGAATTTAGACTAAAATGTATGTTTCTTCCATAAAGTAAGAAATTTACAAAAGTAAATCCAACATTTCCCAATGGAATTAACTTCCCAAGAAACAAAAACTGGAATACATTGTAAAGAACTTGATCATCTGAGTGTTTATTTAGAAGGTAGTCTGAGTTAATTCACTGGGATTTATTTTCAGGTGACAATATGCTTACACCACAGTCTCACTTGTTTACAAAGCTCATTTTACTAAGTTAGAAAGCAAAAACGCTTCAGAAATAGACAGTGATGAAATGAAAGTGAAAAGTAATCAGGCTACCCTCTTAATTAAAAAGGCCTTCTTTTCTCCTCCAATATGCTTCTTAAAATTGTATCACCATG